ACACAGTTCAATTTCTTGTTCAAGAGTCAACTGTGATTTCTCAGGGAGCTCCTCCTCAAGTAGGAGGAGCTCTTGCTTTGTACTTGATCTTGCTTTGTACTCCATACTATTTTATATGTCCTTTGAAATACTCATCTCTCCCATAACTGTTTATTTAGTATCTGTCTCCTCCCCTTGACTGTGAGCTTCTCATAGATCTTGCATTATTGCCTTAGAGCTGGTGTTTTGCATGGGGCCGACAATATTTGCCAATCAAATAGTGAACTTTTCTGGGATTCCTGAATGAAGTATCTTCTTTCTACTCATGGAGTTCTGTGGTCATAAGTGAAAACTGGGATAGCATTTTAATTTTATTTCTCCCTCTTGTTCTCTTCTGTCTTATGTTATCATGTTTAATTATAATCCCTTTAAGAAGACTTATCCTCACTTGGATGATAAAAATTAAAAAATATAAAAGCATAGAATCACAGTGTTTGGAAAGCTTCCTGTGGTCACATGTATTTTCTTCCCACTTGAGCATTTGTTAACAGCTTGTCTGATGTGACCTTTCAGTTTCTGTTTGGATACTTCCAGTGACAAGTTCATCAATTCTGCAGACAGTGTATCCTGCTCTTGAACACTTCCTCAATTAACATTTTCCCTATTGAGCCTGAATCTTACCTTTTATATTTGTCACCGCAGGAAGTTCCCTCTTGCCCCTTCCAAGTCGGTCCCCACACCATCCCCCCAGGTGCAATCACTGCTCCATTTTCTTCTATCACAGATGAGATTTGCCTCTTTTAGAACTTCATGTAAATGGAATCATATAGTACGTGTTCTGTTCTTTCACCTAGCATAATGTTTTTGAGATTCATCCGTATTGTATATTGTCATTAATTTCTTCCTTTTATTGCTGAGTAGGATCCCATTGTATAAGTATACCAGTTTGCTTATCTATTTTTTTATCAATCCCCAGGTACTGATGGACACCTGGGCTTTTTAATTTCTGGCTATCTTGAATAAAAATAGCTCTGAACTTTCTTGTGCAAGGTTTTTGGACAAATATTTCACTTCTTTTCGGTCAGCTATCTATGGGAGGAATCATTGTCATAGGGTAGATGTATACCTAGTTTTCTAAGAAATTGCTAGACCTTTTTCCCAAGTGCCTTTCCATTTTACATTCTTATTAGAATTCTAGTTGCTCAACATCGTCCCCAACATTTGGATTTTAGCTTTTTAATGCCCTCTTAAGAAGGGCTTTTAGAGAGATGATCACAGTCCTTAAGATACTGAACAGAAACACTCTTCTGGTTCAGTGACATGTTTACCTTCTTGGTATGAACACTTTTCTGGAGCTGCTGTATCTTACTGAACTTAAGATCAACCAGAACATTTAGATCTTTTTCAGATTGTTTTCAAGCCGTGTCACCTTTTTGTGCTGTTAAGAAATTGATTTTTGAAAATCCTAAAAATGAGACTTTAAATTTATTCCCATTATGTTCCATCCAATTAATCTGAGAAAAACCTAGAATTTTGAATCTGTCATCAATTGGCCTGACAATTCCTTTTGCCTTTATATCATTTACAGAGTTGATAAGTGTCTTTTCTGGGTGTTCTAGGTTGATGATGGGATTGCTGGATAGTTCAGGTCCAAAGTTAGGTCCTATGATACACTACGGGGGACTTAACTCTTGATGCCATTCATGACGATAGACCACAAACTATGAATTTATCTTCTTATAAAATCTAGATGATTTTATAAGCTCTCATTTTTGTATGTCTTCCCACAAGAATTTAAACTTCACGAGAGTAAAGTTCTGTCATGTATCCAAGCATCTAGAACAGGGTTTGAGGCATGTAGTTGGTGATCAGTAAGTGTTTTTGAATGGATGAATGCATGATGGATAGATATGAAGATTTTCTCAAATGCCTTGCTGAAAACAACTTTCATTGTTTTCTTGGAATTCCTTCTATTGCAACGTGAAACAGATTTGTACTAACAACATACTGTTTGGCTTTTTTTTTTTTTTTTTTTTTTTTTGCAGAAAAGGAAGTGAATGAACTGATGGAAGAGCTGTTTGAAACTGTGAGTAATGATCTTTGAATGAGAACTCAGGATGGGAAAAGTAGAATCTCCAGCCAGCTCTGACGTTTGGTCTCAGAGACCTTCTCTCCAGAAGGGTGGTCTGACCAAGCAAATTTCCCTTTTAGTCCACATAGGAGAGAATATAGTGATAGGAGAATTTTGCTAAATAATAAATTTTGACTATCCATATGTAGGTTATTCTTAGTAAAATTTTCCTTGGAAACTTTTGGATGGCCTATCATTTGGTGCATCCTTAAAGATTACAAACTAGTTTTAGATTATTCTGAGCACAGATAGTTTACCTTTCTCATAAGTTTGTCTCTCAAAAGATATTTTGATCATTTTGAGTTATCCATGATCTGTCCTTATCATGGCAAGTTGACAGGTTGAGAAACTTTTTTCCTGGCATAACAGTCTCCCCATGTGTGGAATTGTGGGAACCCTGAAGTGAGAGCGGTCCTGATGCAAGCTCTTTCTGTGTGCCAGCATTACTGAAGTCCTATAAGTTGTAGTCTTCACATTCCCTTCTCACTGCTGGCATGACTTCTGCATGCCCATTCCCCAGGAAGATCCTTCCTTTCCTCTTCCCCACAGTTTCAAGATGAGATGGGATTCTCCAACATGGAAGATGACGGCCTAGAAGAGGAGGAACGTGTGGCTGAGCCTCGGCCTAACTTTAATACCCCTCAAGCCCTACGGTAGGCTAGCCAAAGATTTTGAGATTTACAATGGAGGAAAAGTGTATGTCTAAAAAGGTTTTCAGAAATTGTGGTTAGCAGTTTTCCATCCCTGACTATGTGCTGTTACTGATACAAGGAAGCAGAGCCCTGGCAGGGTGTCAGATGGCAAGTGAATAAGTCTCCTTATTATGGGGCAGTGCAGCTATAGACCAAGCTGTATCTGTTTGGGAAGGGAGAAAAAGCAGTAGCTGGCATCCATAGCAGCCTCTCCAGGTGAGTGGTGCTGGAGAGGTGTGTAAGCTTCTATGTGGCCAGCCACAGAAACTACCGCAAATTGTAATATTTAGTATGTCCCTTTTGTTCTTCTGTTTGCCGTTAATGTCTAGTAAATGTTAATGAAAGTTTGTTAGTCACTAAGGCGTTAATTGAGCAAACCGTGAAGCATCTGCAGTAATGTCCTGGAGTCTGAAATGTAGGTACTGCTCTCTTCACATAAGCTGATATTTCTGTTTCGCACCCAGAAAAATAGAGGCTTTTTCCCCCCTATTTTTGTGATGAGTTTGCATAATTCATCAGTACTTCATTGTTATTCATTCTGAGTAGCAGCATACTATTGTTAGATGACTGGCTGGATGTCAGGGTATGATTTGTGTTGTGGGTGGAACAAAGCAAAACTAAGAGACCCATACCCTCAATTAGTCCTCTGTTTTGACTTAACAGCATTACCCAGCTAGAGAGCTTTGGATCCAGCTGAAAGCTAGACCTTCAGGGAATTTACAATTTAGTGAAAAAAACAAGGTATACTAATTAATGTGTAAAAGCCAGAAATATCAGTTATACTCCATTACAGTAAATATCATAATATAACTACAACAAAAATCTGAAGTCCCCCCCTCCACTTTATTGAGATATAATCGACAAGGAAAGTTGTAAGGTATTGAAAGTGTACAGTGTGATGATTTGATATATGTATACATTGTAAAAGGATTACGCCCCTTCGAGTTAATAACACTACTACTAACTCATATATTTACTTTTTTCTTGAGAACATTTTCAAGATTTCTTAGAGTCTGTATCTGACCCACTTATTTCAAGCCATGTTTCATAGAAAAAAATTCTAGTGTAGCAGAAAGGAACCATTCCTCCTGGGAACTTATTATAATGAAATTTGATCTGTAAACATACTTTAGTTCCACTAATTAACTCTGTGTGTGAATTTTTAAAATTTGGGACTCTGTTGTAACTACTTAAAATCCTTGTTCATGAATATCTTCTGGTATTTGGTTGATCTGCTTGGGCTGCTGCTGCTTCTCTTGCAGCTGGAAATGCAAATCTAGCTTAATCTTCGATTAAATAAAATATCACGAGGAGAGTGAGTTACCTGTGCTCTGTTTGTTGACTGTCCAAGAAATACTTACAAATCATGTGCAGGCTGTTTTTGCATTATCTACGTTTTTCATGCTTCTGTTCTTCTGTTCCTCTGCTAATGGTGCATCAAAAGAGTTTTCAGTTCTCAGTAAACTTGTACAGAGGACAGGCCCATGACTTTAGGTTTTCATTGTGAGCCTGCCCATACTCTCAGTAAATATTGTGAGAGGAAACATTATCTTTATCCCTAGAGGCTCTTGAAAACCATTATTATCATTTAACAGTTGCTACAATATAGAGGATTTCTTGAAATAGGATAACCTGCCAGTCATAGCTACTTGAGCATGTCTTACCCTGTTTGCATAGAGTATCAGCTCATGCTTAATCACTTCAGTGTCTTGTTCTGCCTCTACCTCAGAACTAGCATGATGGGTATTTGGATTTTTACTTCAGCCCCGGACAGATTCTCTCTCAGGAGTTAGGGGTGAGAGGGTAGGGTTAAAAAACTTGGAGGAGGAATTCAGAGGGTTAAAAGAAGGTATTTCCATGGAGAGCAGTAGGGTAATACTTGAGCCATCTTATCACTATTCATCATAAGCTATGATGTATTTTAGTACATCCCCTTCTTACTTCATGCTAGAAGGTCTTTGACTTTATTTGTTTGTTTGGTCTTTGACTTTTTACAAAAGTAAGGCAGGGCAGCCGAATGGATAAGAGTTGAAGAATGGGAGGAGCTAGGCTGGGATGGGAGTAATAGGTAGATGAGAAAGCAGATGCTGTGCTTTGAGAATATTCTGTATCACCATTAAGAAGTCCCAGTTTGAGATTTATAAATGTTAGCCACTATATATAAAAGTAGATTTAAAAAACAGTTTCTGCTGTATAGCACAGGGAACTATGTTCAATATCTTGTAATAACCTTTAATAAAAAATGAATATGAAAATAAATATATGTATGTATATGCACAACTGGGACATTGTGCTGTACACCAGAAATTGACACATTGTAACTGATGGTACTTAAATTAAAAAAAATTAGAAAAAGAACAAGTCCTATATTAAAGTGGATATCAGTGTGATGCAGAAATGATGGGTTCCCAGTAGCTCCTTGAATGCAGACATTTCCCTGCTCTTAGATTTTTGTTTATTTTCCCCTTCATTTGTATATTATTTACAGGAATGATTTTAGAAGGGGACAATTTGAAATCATCTTATTTGAATCTATGCTAACAACTTTGGGAGAAGAGTTGGATAGTCTAGGAGTTTGCCTGTTGGCTAAAGTGAAATCTGGAAATTAGCCATCCCCTGAAGAAGCGGAGTTAGGAGGATGGAAATCTCTGGAGCCCAGAAAAGCAGCTGGGGTTAAGTCTGGATGAAAGATAACAGGGAGATCTACTAGAGCAATGGCACTGGCAGAGGAGAGAAGTGGAAGGTTCCAGAGCTGCTTCTCTAGAAGCGTGGTCAGACCTTGGTGCCGGGTCAGATGTGGGAAAGAGCAAAACAAAGAATCAGAGATGAGTCTGTGCCTCTAGTTTGACTGATGGGTTGAGAATGGTTCCAGTGGGAAAATGAATTCATGAGCAACAATGGATTTGAGGTTATGATAACGTGTTCATATTTAGGCAAGTGAGTAGTTGGAAATCATTCATACTCTCTTAGTCCACCATTAGAAGGAACTGGATGTGTTGTGGACCTAGGGAAATACTCATTCAGTCATCTTCCTTTGGGGGTAGGTTTGAGGAACCACTGGCCAACTTGCTAAATGAGCAGCATCGCACAGTGAAGGAGCTACTTGAACAGCCGAAGATGAAGAAATCTTCAGCCAAACAGCAGCAGGAGGTAGTAGACAGGGTTAAGCCCCAGAGTGAGAAAGTTCATCAGACTCTGATTCTAGACCCAGCACAGAGGAGGAGACTCCAGCAGCAGATGCAACAGGTGAGACTCTTCTTCTGTAATGTGGATCATCCATTGGCTTGGCTCTGAAGCCAAAAATTAGCAGGTTT